CCTATTTTTTCACGCAATATTCTTTCTGGTGAAAACTTTGTAATGAACGGGATCACCTGTGTCCAAGCAAGGCAAATCTTGCTTTGCAAAAGCTTTGGTCTCAGTGTTTGAAGGAAGATTTCTCCACTGTCATCATCTGAAACAATGAGGCCAATCCAGGTCCACCCAAACTGCTTCAGGAGCTGCACAATCCCAGTATACTGAAGACCTTCCTTTGGGACCATCTGATAGAAAGTAGGAAACTGGGTTTGGTCTCTCAACACAGGATCAAACGAGCCATAGCTGAACTGTTGGGGGAAACAGAACGCTTTTTAAGTGAAGGAATCAATCCTTTCTTCTCAAACTTGCGTTGACTGAATGAAAGGTTTGCCTGCGTTACCATCCTGATCTCCTTGAAGGGGACCAGGAACAGCCTTCCTTTCCCTGCCATAACAGACTGCATCCCTATATCCAGTAAAGGGATACTTCAGCTAGTGTGCCTTCACTCAGCAGTATTATCAGAAACCTGGTATCTCAGAGTTGAGTTGGCCTTATTTCTTCCCATGCACTTACCTGTGGGATCTTGTAGGTACTTAGAACATGGGCCCCCTGCATGGAGTTTGGGGAGGTGAGTCCCCCAATGACAGCCATTAGCTTGCCTTCCCTGGCAAAGATGTAATTGGGTGGATCCTCTTGTCCATTGCACAGAAAGTTCAGAAGATTCCAAGTGGTTTTTCTTGAATCAAAAACATCATTTTCAGTCATGGATCCCAGTGTAGTGTTTGGCAACAACTGAGCATCCTTGTTTATTTCTTCAATAGCAAAAGAAAAGGCAAGAACGTGCTGGTAGTTTCTGGGGAAAAGGCTGCAATGAGGTAGACTCATCATCATCATCATCATCATAATCTAAGGGTTCCAAGTGCTCAGACTGTTGCACTTTGATTCTCCCATCTAAAAGGAATGCTTCCAAAAAGTGCTCAGAAACAACTTTTTGAAACTAACAATACTGATGGTGGTTAAATCTCCACATAGCTCTTTCATCTTCCCTTGACATGCGGGATAATCCGTCTCTTCCACTGTTTCATTGGAACAGCCTCCAGCCCTTTTCAGACATTTCATGAGGAGATGGGGCACTTTAGGCAAGCCACTTCAATGATCCCATTCCCTGCCTTTGACTCATGGAAGCATACAAGCATAAAAAAGTAGAGTTGGAAGGTACCATGAAAACCATCGAATCAAACAACCCTGCAACAGTAGGACACCAGATTACACCATCCCACTCAGATGGCTTTCTGGTTTCTAGGACACATGGAGGGTAAGAGTCAAAAAAGGTGATATCCTCGGAATAGAAATGCTGTAAAGTCTACACAAATTGCCATGGTGGAATCCACCATGGATACTGACAACTAGCCCTCCAGAAGCAGAGTCCAATGAACAGACAGCCTCAAGAATGGCATACATGATATTGAATCATGTTAGGAAAACTCCAAATACGGTACGTCTTAAGTGTCCATCACCTTCTTTCCCATTTATGCACATCTTGTCTCATTCTCTCCTTTCCCTGCCTCCATGCTTTGCCACACTATCCCTGTCTACTTCCCTATGACAATTCCTGGGCAAGACACCCATATGAAATTGCATTCTCTTTGAAGTTTCTATTACTCCTCCCAAGTTTTACTCTTCTGTGCGGCTGTAGTGAAACTGTTCCAGGAGAAGCAGTGATAGCCACTATTTTGGACTGCTTCAAAGGGGCATCGAAACTTGTCATACAGGGGAGAGCTATCAGGGTGAGTAGAGCTGATGGCAATGCACTACTTCCAGTAGCAGAGGCTAGAGGTCCAGATTTGGCCCCTGCCCATCAGGTTCTGAGCCTTAGTCTGCACTTACATTCACATCTGAATGTAGTGGTCTCTAGAAACTCCAAGCAGGAGCTTCTGTTCAATTGAAGAACACTTACACAGTATTCCTACAAGGAGGAATGGCCTGTCCTACACCAAAGACTCCTCCAAATATATTTTCTTGCACTCAAATACATTTTAAATCTTGAACTATTGGTGGTTCTGTATCTGGTGGCATTAGTGAAAGGAAAATATGCTGAATTTCTATCACCAAGGTTTGGACAACAAGAAAAGAGAAAATAGATTTCTGTTAAAAGCAGTTATTTGTAGTGCTGTACAAAAAATCAACATTAGGCAAACATTAGATCCTCTGCAAAACAGATACACAGATAAATAAGAGGAACCATCTTACCAGTAATATGCTTCAACAGTGTCAGGCATACACCTGAAGTCCTGGGCAGTCCAATTATCAAATGTAAGAGAAACCAATTCACCAATGATAACCTCATCTAAAATTGTACCTGAATCAGATTGATTTTGTCTTCTCCAGCTGCACATGAAGGAATTTGAGCTGCTGCTAACATAAAAATACAGTAACAAAAGCAAACTGAGGCAGTATGCAGAACATTCTGGCTTCAAGCCCAGCCTGGATGCCTTCATGACCTCCACTGGCCACCACCAACAGCAACAGTCCTTGCACAAGATGCAGAAAAACTCAAAGAACTCCGACCATCTTGAAATTACCAACAAGGCTGGGGTATAGCATGTTGTTTGGACAAGCTTTTTACATACTTGCAACAGACTATCAAAATTCAGCTTTAATGTTTTGGAAGGTAATTTGCACAGGGTTTGTAATAGCCCATGGAACCAGAAGAGCACTGCTCAATACAGTCATTGGGTAATTGCATAAAAGCTCATTTGTTTTTCCAAAGTTTTCCATTCTCAGAGCAATTACTGGAAAAGTGCCACACTTGGGACTATGGCTTGCTCCTTCTCAGAAATGGAACTGCCCAAAGACTTCTGTGAGATGCAACAGCAACTTGGAGAGTTTGCCAAACTTTATGCATAGATGCAGCTCAGAGAGAACTGGTGAAAAGAAAAGGTTTGCTGGAAGTCCAGTGAACCTCCAAATGCGGAACAATTTTCCTGGGAGTGTCTTCTGCTGGGACAGACCATGCATCTATTTCTACTCTTTATTCTGTCCAGGAACATACACCAAGCTCTCTCTCTGAAGCTTTTTTACCTGGATCTCTCTAACTTGTAATGAAAGTAAATCAAAATTTCTGCTACTTAGATAGACTTGCAGATTATTAAAAAAGTTAAGTATTTGGGAATCCATCTTATAGCAAAATGTACTACTTTGAAAGAAGATAATTACTATAAATTATTGAAGGATATTAAGGGTGATCTGGAAAAATGGGCCTATTTACAATTATCTTTGATGGGAAGAATAGCACTTGTTAAAATAAATATACTACTTAAGCTTTTGTTTTTATCCCAAATGATTCCCATAAAAATTGATAAAAATTTTTTTGATGATCTAAACTTTTAAATTTTGATATTTATTTGGAGAAAGAAGAAACCAAGGATTAAATTAAAAATACTTCAGGAAGCCAAAAAGAATGGTGGTTTTGGTCTTCCTGATTGGATGTTGTACTATCAAGCGTCTATTTTAACTTGGCTAAAAGAATGGATAACTTTGCGAAATAAGAGAATTTTGTATCTCAAAGGTCATGATTTGCAAATGGGTTGGCATGCTTATATGTGGTATGAGAAGGTTAAATCACATGGGTCTTTTTTAAGTCACTTTATTAGAAGATCATTAATGTCAGTGTGGGAAAAGTTAAAGTTAAAATTGTATAATAAACTACCAAGATGGCTTTCACCCATGGAAGCTTTTGTGTATCCAAATGCATTGAACTTTGAAGGGATCATAAGATATCACAATATTTTGGATAAGGATGGAGACCTGAAACTAGATCAAGAAACACAAGAACAGGGCTTTAATATCTCTGGTGGCATAAGGTGGAGATGCAAGTGAGATATGCTAAAGATTGTAATGCATGGGGGTTTTATAAGGACTTAATAGCATTTGGTCAAGTGATGCTTAAATCAGATGAGAAAATGATTAAAAGATTATATGATTTCCTACTTGACAGGACAATGGAAGAGGAACAGGTTAAGGAAACTATGATAACATAGGCACAAAATTTTGGATATAATATTGAATTAGAAAAGTGGTAAAAGCTATGGGAGAGAAACTTTAAGGTAACATTAGCAACTTCATATAAAGAAAATTTATATAAAATGTTTTATAGATGGTATCTGTCACCAAGTGGATTAGCTAAGATGTTTCCAAATATGTCAAATGGATGTCAGAAATGTAAACATAAAGTGGGTACTTTTTACCATATGTGGTGGACCTGTGATAAAGCAAAAAAGTATTGGATTAAAATACATAAATGGCTTGAGGAAATGCTACAAAAACCCTTAGCTTTTAAACCCGAAGTTTTCTTATTAGGCATTGTAGCTGATGATCTTAGTAAACAAGCAATATATTTGACTCTACACATAACTACTGTGGCAAGAATTGCATTTGCCCAACACTGGAAGAGTGAAGAACCACCTTCCGATGAACTGATTCTAAAAAAGATCTTGGACTGTGCGGAAATGAATAGACTGACTTTGAGGGAGAAAGAAGATACAGACTTCTATCAAACCTGGGATTCTTTTTATTATTGGCTAGAGAAATGGGACTATGCATAGACTTAATTATGTTTATAGTTTAACATAAAAAGAAAAAAATGTTGGGGGCTGATCCAGTAGGTCTGCTGTTTTTGATGATTGGTGCTTCTTAGTTTCTTTTTGTTAGGCATATTAAGAATAAAACTTATTCACAAAAAAAGAGGAAAGAAACAACTTGGGGAAGGCTGTGTTAGAAAGGTACATTTAGGACACTTGTAAGACAAGCTATACAAGGCTGTCCTGGAAAAAGACTTGGAATTTCACCTGGCTGAAAATGATGAAGCTGATTACCTGATAGGGGTAGTTATATGGAGCATGTGACTTCTTCAGCAGCTTCTCTGCATACACATCTGTTTCTGGAAATCATTCAAAGTCTTCTCTTGTACCAATGAGGCCCTACCTGAATGCACTCCAAAACCCCAAAGAGGCTTCTCAATTCTAAACTTGCTTTTTCCTGACAAGCTGTTCTCTGCTGTTCAGTTCGGGCCTCAGAATGACGATGTACAACTTGGGCAGGAAAATACAGCCCAATAGGCCAGCACCAGAGGCCAAGACAGAGAAGATCTCCACAGCCACCATGTACTTCCCCTTGGTGCTCAAGTAAGTGGGCCAGAAGGACACCCAGATGCTGCAGAAGACCAACATGCTGAAGGAGATCAGCTTGGCTTCATTGAAGGTATCAGGCAACTTCCTGGCAAGGAAGGCCACCGTGAAGCTGATGGTGGCCAGAACCCCCATGTAACCCAGGACTAGGTAGAACATGAGAGCTGAGCCTTCATTGCACTGAACTATGATTCTGCCAACCTCAGAGTGCATGTCAAACTCTGGGAAGGGAGGAGAAGTTGCCAGCCAAACCACACAGATTACACTTTGAATGAAAGAAGAGAGAATGATGACGGATGCTGCCAGCCTCTTCCCTACCCACTTCCTCATCCTGTTTCCAGGCTTGGTGGCCATGAAGGCCAGGACAACCATGATGGTCTTTGCTAACACACAGGATACAGTAATGGAGAAGACGATGCCAAAGACAGTTTGCCTCAGAAGGCAGGTCACCCTCCCAGGCCTCCCAGTGAACAGGAAGGAGCAGAGGAAGCAGAGCAGCAGGGAGGCGAGCAGGGCACACGTGATGCTCCAGTTGTTGGCCTTGACAATGGGCGTGTCCCAGTACACGCTGAATGTTCTGGTCACAGCAACTGTGATCACAGAAAGGACAAGAGCTAAGACAGTCAGAGTTATTCCCAAGGGCTTCTCATAGGACAGGTAGGTTATCTCCTTAGGAATGCATTCGTCCTGCTTCTCATTTGAATATTGTTCATCTGGACACATCTCACATTGTTCTGCATCTGAAAGTGAGAAGCAAAACATCCGCTTTACAAGAATGAACAGAAAAGGTTCATTTTCATTACATCTCATCTTTCAGCAAACATCTTGCACATGAACATCAGTGGTGATGATCCCCAGGTATTCTCTGTGTAATAAAGTGTATAACTGTGGTACATAAGTCAAAGAATTATATTAGGGCTGAAGATTCAGCACAGAGTTTCTTCACTTACTCATCTTGGTTGAAATCCTCCCTTGGGGACACCCCTTGCAATCATAACAGCACACTAGCTTCCCCTCCTGGATGGCCATGCTCTGCCCAGGGTGGCAGCTCTCCACACAGGTGGACCTGGGCAACACCTGAGAATAAACACAGGGAAGGACAGGTGGACTGGAAATGAAGGCAGTGCAGCTTCCGAGATGTTCCCTGGCATTCCGCAAAGCAGACAAAAGTTCCCATAATGGAAACCCAAATCCTTTACTTAGTTCTTGCCACACAACTCAAGGGAGGCAGGTAGGGAGGGAAAGTGATATCTCTTTTTCGATTGTTAGATGACAATCTATGATGTGAATGTTAATCTGTATTTCTTCTCCGGTCACAGGAATATCCAAAATTAGGTTTAAATATGATACTGATTTAACAGAGGCTGAGGAAAGTTAGTGATGAAAAAGATCACTCCTACCTGCTCCAGCTTGTGATTCCACACAATGACACTTCCATTTATGATGAACACATCTTCTTCAGCAGCCATGGGGACCACCTGACCAACTGGAATTCTCCAGAATGATCCACTGGGGAAAGTTACCAAGTTGAGGAGACTGAATTTACCAGGCCGATCACCATTCTCAGGAAAAAATATCTCTTCCCCAGCATCGTTATTAAAGCAGATGTTTCTCAGAAAAGAATGAAGCTGATTTGAGAAAAAAACCATTGTTTACAGTAGCTTGCATTCATTACTAAAATAACTTAATTCCCTTTAGTACTGATAATTGATCACTCGTGATGAAGAACTGATAAGCCACCCAGTTGCCAACTGCCAGCTGGTGTTGCAACAGGCATGTTCACATGTCCCACCAATCCATTCAATGAGCAAGTATAGCATGCATGAGTGTATGTCCCAGTCAGAACACCTTCAGCAGCCCTGTCCAAAACACCAATGCCAGAGGATGCCTGCGCATTTCAAAACCCAGTGTTGAAATTCTGTGCTTCCAAACATGAGGCGGCTTGCATTCTTTGCACCTTCTAATACAACTAGGAAGGTGGGAATCTAGGGACTGGGTGGGAAAAGACTCCAGTCCAAACTATCATGAGGAGGAGGAGCAGGGGAAGGGTGAAGACGAAGAGAAAGGAATAAACAGAGGTGAGCAACTTGCTCCTCTTTTCCTGAACAAAGGTCATGTATGGCTGTTTTTGATTGCCGTCTCCCCTTTGGACAGCTGTTGGGGAAAACACAGGAAGGAATACGTCTCTTTGAACCCCTTTGGGTCTATATTCATGGGGGGTGCCAGTTGCACCTTTACACCATACACTTTGCAGGTGAGACTCCCCATTTCAGACTGCTAATGTGTCTTTGCGTGTGTGCCTGCATACAAAATAAAAATGCCTGACTCCCTCAGAATAGCCAGCCATGCAAACTTTGCCATCCCAACCATACACCCTGAGAAAAAGACACAAAGAGAGCTTCCATTCAGATCATGTTGGTCTCATTTCAAAAGCAAATCTATTCACTTAACACCTGCAGCCATCCTGGGAAAGTTGTGCCATCAGTTTTTTAAGTAGCTAGGTCAAAGCCATTCTTGACCAAGTCCAGGTGATCATTTTTTGTTGTATTTTTAAACAGCAGTTCAGGTGAGTTTATTTCAAGCAGGCGCGATGCAACATTTTCAGAGAAATTGAAAAGAAATGCTATTTCCGCTAGTCTATTTGTGCTATTCTGCAATACCAGCATACCACCAAGAGGTTACCTAGTGACAAAAGAGGAAAAGATGTGCTGTTTGTATTCTACTTGGCTCCCAATTTGGTGATGAAATTGGGAGTGGAAAGACTGGACGACCAACCTCATGTGGGAAAGTCTCAATTCTTGACTTCAACCCCAGCTTCTTGGATCATGGAATGAACTGACGCTTATATTGCTGCCAAAATGCAATGTGCATCAAACCTATCCCATCTCATGCCCACAACAGGCCCTATTTCCTAGGATTTGAGAGTTTTTAATGTCTTTATTTAGACAGGGCAACATACTCAATGACAAGCTTGAAGCATCTATTATATTTGGAAATCCTGCGCTGCCTGGGGATCTTAATGTGTGCAAAGTGTGCCGTGAGAGTATTCTTGTTTCGTGGCAAACATCCATAAGACTACCCTAAACAGAACTTGGGCAGTGTACTTATAATGGTGAGGAAGGGCATTTCTCATCTACGTCATGATGCCATTCCTTCATGATGTCCACTAACTTAGATGAACTTCAAAGTAGGGAGAGAGATGAAATCTGAGATGAAATTCCCAGTGCATTCTCCCCTTCTGTCACTGTTCGAGAAAGGTGATCAACTATTCTGTTTCCCCTTCTTCCATTTGGTGTGGTGTTATTCTGTTCTGAGGTTTCTCAGCAGCAGTGACTACCTGCCAGGGCTGAATGTTAGGAAGTTTTGATCGATGCTGATTTCCTCTTGAATTCTTCTTGCTTCTCAATAACAACATGGCATGGAGACAATGTGCTACTGCGTAGATAGCATTGTAGATGTTGTAGCTCTGGACAGACATGGCTGTTTCAAAGATGTGGACAGGGAGGGTCCCCAGCTTCTCCCGCCCTGTGCAGATTTCTTGATCTGGAAAGAGGAACCTGTGTTCTGGGAGTGCACATACAAATGAGGTGTACCAGAAACGCTTCAGGACATTCAGATTTAATTGGTATGGATTTATACTGTCCAGAAAGTCCTGAAATCCTGGCACAACAGGGATATGAGGACTGAATGACAAGGACCCATTGACAGTTTCTGGGGTGAATGCGTAGGAAACAGATGTAGCAGTGATGTCCCATTCTGCTGTGGCGATTCATACCCTGGCGACTGGGGTCAGTTTGAAGACTTCATACCAGTGGAAAATTAGTCTTAAACCCTGCAGTGACCGACTGTCACCATAGACAAGAATCACATTGATCTCACTCAGCAAGACAGTTGAATTAACTGGTTTCAGCTTTTCATGAAGCACTGTAATGAATTCAAATAGTGATGCAGATGGGATCATGTGCATCCAAGCGAGGCAAATCATGCCCTGCAGAAGTCTTGGGTTCAGGGCTCAAAGGAAGGATTCTCCACTGTCATTATCTGAAAAAATTAGGCCAATCCAGTTCCACCCAAAATGCTTGAGGAGCTGCACAATCCCAACATACTGTGCATCTTCATTTGGGCCCAGCTGGTAGAGAGAAGGAAACTGAGCTTTGTCTCTCAACACAGGATCAAAAGAGCCATAGCGGAGTTGCATGGAAAGGAAAAATTTGTAATGGCAAGAAAGATGCCTTTCTTCTCAACCTTAAGCCAGCGTATTAAGCTGGCTTTAGATGAATGCAAAGTTAAAATCTTGATCACATTCAACTGACCTTCTTATGTTATGCAAAGGCTGCTTTCTTACATACACCTCTTACATTATTTTATCCATCCATTCTTTCATCCATTCATTCATTTGTATACTGCCTGTAGCCAAAGCCCCTGGGCAGTGCAAAGTTATGCAATCTAACATCTTCAACAGATACAAATGCACTGATGACAATCCCCTTTGAAGGTTTATACACAGCAGGTTGTAATCTGGGGTGTATCCCACACATGGCAGAGCTCAAACTCTTGGTGGCAGAAGAACTCAACAATTGCATGAACAAGATCAACCGGAATTCTGACAGATCTGGGGTCAAGCCCCACCTGGACCACTCCATGGCTTCCAATGGCCACCAGTTTCAGTCCTGGCAGATATGACAGAAAAGCTCAGGCTGACAGAGCTTAGTCTGCCTCACAAGGGCACCCCAGACTAGGCTGGAGCAAACTGCCCTGACAGGAGCCTGTGCAGACCTTGCAGGGAATATCATGCTGTCAGGATATTGTTCTTGCTACGCAGTTAGCTCTGGACCTGTGATCTCCCATGAGGCTTTGAGAAATACTACTGCTGATATTAGTTTTAATAATTTTATAACATGTCATCAGTTCCCCAAAAGCCCTCAAGCCTCAGGGACAGAAAATAAGTTTTGTCTCACTGGGCATACCTCTCCCAGTTATGCTGGAAATGGTAGACTTGAGGGCAGAGGGCCAAACATGTCCAGGGCCCTCAGGCACCACTTCTTGAATTCACTCCTTTCTTGTGATGAGCAGGAGAGGCAGATATAATTCAGGAACAAACGAAACTGAAAGGGCTGATCTAGCAGCAGAGCTGATGCAACAGACCCTGCTCTCCTCTCCTCCCCTCTCCTCTGCTGCATCCTGGTGCAACTCCTGCTGCTGGCTCACTGCTGGGGGAGATCCAGAGTAGGCAAACTTCAAGTCGAGCCTTTAACATCATGGAGCTCCAATCTTGTTACTTGCAAGGTATCCAGCCTAAGCATACCTATGTCTGACTCCACTGCAAAAGCAACTGACCTCCAAGCAGAGGCATGGATGTGACCCTGCATCAAGTTGTCCACTTGCTACACTCTAATGGAAAAGAGCACAGGTGATTTGCACCTCATGTTAAGTCACCATTCAAATAAGCCATTTTGGCTTGTCAATTTTCTTGTATGTTGCTTACTTGTCAACCCCATTGATAGCTGAAAAATACAAAGGAATTGACAATGCCAGGCTATGCATATCAGAGAGCCGAATCTCTCACACACCTGGAAAGATCAGGAAGAGGAAGAAGAAAATGATTTTTTTAAAAGATATAACCCCATGTGCATACTCCTGAAATGCCAACGAAATTAGAAGTGATTGACAGTGCTTCAAACTTCACTCTGGCATTGAATAAGGAGCAGTGACTACCCACACAGGATGGGGAAGAAGTAGGGGGAACATCCCCCCCACACACAAACTGCAGCATGGGTTCTGTCATTCACAACAAGCCACTGTTTAACCATTCACAACGATTCATAAAAAACAGCTCTGTCAGTCTGCTTACACAAGAGGTATCCATGGTTATCAATAATCTTTAAAAAAAATAGCCATGTGCACTTGTGGGTGGTCTGTTCATGACTAATAAGGCAAATTGCAGAAACTGAACCAGATTCCCAGCACACGACAACCCCCTGCAGTTGAACACCAGTTATGAGTTCTTGTGTCATGAGAACCAGGCCGTCTGCATGGAGGAGGGGTCCTCCATCTGTTGAGACTCAGTCCAGCCAAAGAACCTCACTTCACATGCAGGGCTACTTAGGAAGGAAGAAAGAAAACCACTTTTGTCAAAGGTGAGATATGCTTTAATGAATCCAAAGTGCGAGCAGAATATCAGCAAACAAGCACAAGAAAACTCATACTGCCTATACCTGCAGTTGCACTGCTTTTCCAAACATGACAGCGATCTGCAGGCCCCCAAACTCTCCTGGATGATTAGGAAGTTGAGTCTTCATCCTCAGCTGAGAAACACACTTCTTGTCACGAACCTTAAAAAGTTCTCCTCATACTCTGTCAGATGGATGAGGTACATTTTGTGGTGATCTAATGCTGCTGCTGGTTGCCCTTAGGAAACTACCAGGGACTGGTGTCTGGCAAGGTATGCTAATACTGATAAGTTCTATTCTTCACGTATGTCCACCAGCCTTTCTTGGTCTGGATGGCAGTCACAGGATAGCTATACATACATGCAGAGAGCACATGACTCTTGTTAAAACCGTTTCACTGGCTACCTGTTTGGAGCAGATAGTCAAAGTCATGCTCTTGGGTGGACCCAAGAGCCTGTTGTCACAATCACAGGCTGACCCAATTGGGGGCTCAGAGTGCAGAATGCAGGCATGCCTGATTCCACAGCACCCCTCCTTCCAGAGACAGACCCCAAAGGATTCATAAGCAAGGCTTGGAGTAAATGGGTTCTATATAGAATGAAGACGCTCACAGGAAGTGCTGGAAAGTCGGTTTTACTGGGGAGGTAACACAACAACCAGGGTCTCAGAATGGCAATACAACAATAAAGTAGAGCATCAATCATGAATGAAAAACCCATATTTAAAACAACCATCAAATCTTAAAATATTGGGAAAATTAAAAGGGGTTCGCCTGCCACTGAAAAGAATAAGGATTCAGCGCCAGGCGCACTTCTATAGAGAACATATTCCAAAGGCCCTTCTCCAGGTAGCCACTCTCCTCATCTCCTTCAAAAAGGGCTCCCAAAGAAGGACTTCTGACCAATTTTTATTGTGTAGGCTTTTAAAAATGGATTGTACCAGCTGCCCAGAGAGCTTTGGCTGCTGGGTGGTATAGAAAAAGAGGAGCTGCTGCTGCTGCTGCCGATGATGATGATGAAAAAAAATTGAAACGATACATTTGCTATCACCAGGCAGAATAGTAGGAGATTTCAGGTTAAGGTGAGAGACTATGCCTGGTCAATAGCCAATGAGACTTGTACCTCATTCTTGCCTTCAAGAAAATATTGAACTTGTGCCCTCATTCTCTCATTTTCACTTCCTCACTTTCAAGAAAATGTACACCAAATGCTCATTTATATGCTGTATGATCACTGGATTCCCCCAACATTTTATCCTATGATTTGGCAGGTGGCTTAGGGTGAGAGTTCATCAGAAACTTTTGGTAGTGAAGGAGGTTATTTGTTTTAACCTTCAAACTTTCCTTCAAACTTTTATCAGTGTAAAAGCACTGAATCTTCCTGGCTCCTTGAAATTTATGAAGATTAATTGAACCTTCTGGATTCTATGAAGGTTGGAACATGTATCCTTATCACCTCTTTTACTGGCTATCTTACCTATAATCTTCGTGACTGTGAAGCTATAAACAAATCGATGTAACTTAGACTATTCAGGAGAACTCAAGGAGCAACTCCCTTTTATCCATAGTTATTTTTGATAGACAGAGGGATAATTTTCCCATCAGGTACTTAGCCATAGTCCTGAAATGTTCCCACCATGTACAACTAGTATGTTTTTCTGATATGCAAACAGTTTGGAAAGATTGGTGATAAATCTTGGTCAATAGATTTAATTGTCATGAAAGTTAGGAAGACTCACCCCACCATTCAAGCTTTAACATTGGAACTGAACAATCTACTGAAAAGATTTAACATTATCATTGCTTCTTTGATGGTAATAAAACCGATAAAACCATGATTAGGTTAAAGTCCTTATTTGCGGCTTGATAATAGGAATAATTGCATTACACTATATACAAGAATTACATAAGCAGGAAAAAAAACCTTTTTCAGACATGGATGACTGTAATGAACATCCAGAACGTTATTATCCAAATAAGAAGCAGGATTTTATACTTTCCCAAAGAAATCAGGTTCCTGACGTATGAAGAACTGCTGAGGTTCACATTGGGTCTTGTTGCACTTCCCTTTCTGCGATCACAACTTTGGTGCTTGGGATCTTCATCAGGCACAGGGACACTCCCATAGTCAAGGCCAACAACAGGAACCTCACCTTCACTCTTCTGGTCTCCCTTCTGCTCTCCTTCCTTTGCGCTTTGCTCTCCATTGGCCAACCTGGAAAAATGAGCTGTCTCCTTCGACAAACTGCTTTCGGTATTATCTTCTCGGTGGCCGTCTCTTGTCTGTTGGCCAAAACCATCACTGTGGTCCTTGCTTTTATGGCCACCAAGCCAGGATCCAGAATGAGGAGATGGGTGGGGACAAAGCTGGCTAATTGCATTGTCCTTTCCAGTTCCCTGATTCAAGCCATGATATGTGCACTTTGGCTGGCTACCTCTCCTCCGTTTCCAGATTTTGACCTGCATTCAATGACTGAAGAAATCATCCTGGAATGCAATGAAGGTTCAGTGGTCATGTTCTACTGTGTCCTGGGCTTTATGGGCTTCCTGGCCATTGTCAGCTTCACAGTAGCTTTCCTGGGCAGGAAATTACCTGATAATTTTAATGAAGCCAAATTTATCACACTCAGCATGCTGGTCTTCTGCAGTGTCTGGCTGACCTTTGTTCCAACCTACCTGAGCACAAAAGGAAAGTACATGTGGCTGTGGAGATGTTCTCCATCTTGTCTTCCAGTGCTGGATTACTGGGCTGTATTTTCCCTCCCAAATGCTTTATCATGCTTTGTCATGAGGCCTGAA